CTGGAACCAACATAAATAGCTTAGGTGAGGGGATAAACAAAGTATGGTACATCAAGATGATGAAATATTATTCACTCCTAAAAAGAAATTAGCTATAAAATCACCAAAAGGGAATTTAAATGCATATTTTGGTGTGAAAGAATCCAATGTAAAACAGCTAAATATTCTACGATTGCAACTATGTATTTCTGGAAAAGACAAACTATGGAGGCATTAAAAGGATGAGTGGTTGCATGGGGTTGGGGGCAGGAGTTATGTATAGATGGTACACAGAGAAATTTCACTATAGTGAAACTCCTCTATGATAACTACAGTGATGGATGTATATCATTGTACACTTGTGAAAACTCATAGAATTTATAATACCATGCATGGGTCATAATGTAAATTATGGGCTTTGAATGATAATGAGTGTCAGTGTAGTTTTTATTGATGCTGATACACATACCACTGTGTTTACAAGGTTTCAATAGTGGGAGAGGTCGTGTGTATGTGGGGGCTTGAGGGTATATGGAAATCTTTACCTTTTGCTCCATTTTGCTATGAATCTAATATTTAAAGTCTTAAAAAGTGTAGGAAAGAAAACGATGCATGGGTAATAAAATTCCTTTGATACTTTGAATGTGAGGAAAAGTTCATATTCTGCCCTCAAACTTGATAACTCTCCTGGGAGTAGAATTCTGTGTTTAAAATCATTACCCCAAGAATTGTGAATAATTTGCCTCTTTGTTCTAAGTTTTATTGTTTCTATGAAGTCCCAACACATCTGGATTACAGCTTGTTTGTAAGATAATTTTTCATTAAGTGGGTTTGGCATACTTTCACCTCACGCGTTAGCTTCCACACTCTATAATTTCTCTTAATCTGGAAATTCAATGTTTTTAATCTTTGGAATATCTTGAATTATTTAGTTGTTTTTGTCTTTTTCTGTTTTTCCTGAAATTTTAATATTTTTATTTAGATATTTGACTTTGTCGATGAGTCATACGACTCTTTCCTTTTCCACCTTTTTAAATGTTACTCTGTCACTTGATTTCAAATTCTTTATCTTCCTAGATCTATTAATAGTTTTTTAAAAATTGCAGTTTTGAAATTCTCGGGTGCTTTATTTTTGCCATTTTGGTCTTTCATGTTACAGTCTTTCCTTGGATGACAGTTTAATACGGGTTTTCTGCTCATGTTTAACTGGGGACTGGTTAGACTTGGTGAGTTTTCTACTTGGGGTGTGTTGGCTGTGCATTTCTCTGTAACATAACTTGATTGGACTTGCTTTTTGGGGGATCTCTGATAAGTGTCCTTAGGGCTTTTGCCTTGGCAGAAGGCTGTTAGACACTATTTTGGGGGGGGCAAGTTTGGGGAGGCAGGTGGTTTTCAGTGTCTGTATGTTTGCGTGTGTGTTTCTCATGTGATCAATGATATCATTATAACTATAATCCTCCCCATAGTGAATCACAAATATCAAAACATTTTGTGCAATACCCTCTCTCATTCATTAACTTTCTTGTCTAAAATAATCTTGCTAGTTGCTTCGTATTTGTTCCACCTGTTCTTTTTCTCACTTTTCTGTTGGCCTTTGGATGAATTTACTGTGTTTTATGATTTCATTTTACCAACACTAATGATTTTTTTACACTGAAATTTTATTTAGCAATTGACTTGAGATTAGAATATACATCTGATGACAGTCTCCTTCAAATAATATTAGTTATGGGCACCCAATAGGAGATCACAAGAGAGGAGCCTGCATGTGTTTGTGAACTCCTTTTGTGACTGTGGGTCCCAGAGGTTTTATATTCTTTCAGTAGCTTCCGTTTGCTCTTTACCAATTTTTGAAGTTTTTAGCTTTCTTCTTCTTACCTGACTGCATGGCACCCAATGTCTCTTCCTCTTGTGCTCTGACTTACGTGCGCTGGTAATCGCATCTTCTCTCCCTTCAGGGTGGGGAGACATGTCTTTCTTAGGTTTAAGGCTCCTAGGTTGTCCTGTGACTTCAGCTCTGAAGGGTTGAAGAAAAGATTATACTTTTATAGTTTATTTGCATTTTCTTTTGTTCAGATATGAGCACTACTTTTTGCAATTTTCTGTATCCTAGACAAAAGTAGAAACCCAGGCTGGGTGCAGTGGCTCACTCCTGTAATCCCAGCACTTTGGGAGGCCTAGGCAGGAGGAGTGTTTGAACCCAGGAATTTGAGACCAACCTGTGTAACATAATAAGATCTTCTATCTAGAAAAAATAAAAAATTATTAGCCAGGCATGGTAACATGAACTTGTGTACTCAGCTTCTTGGGAGGCTGAAGTAGGAGGATTGCTTGAGGCCAGGAGATAAAGGCTGCAGTGAGCTGTGTTCATACCACTCCACTCTAGCCTGGGTGACAGAGTGAGACCCTGTCTCAAAAAAAAAGTCATCAATATTCTTGATTAAAATGTTTAGACTTTAATTTTTTACTAAGTATACTTTTTTCTTTTTTTTGAGATGGAATTTTGCTCTTGTCACCCAGGAGTGCAATGGTGCGATCTCTGCTCAGTGCAACCTCTGCCTCCTCTATTCAGGCAATTATTCTGCCTCAGCCTCCCGAGTAACTTGAATTGCCTGCATCTGCCGCCACACCCAGCTAATTTTTGTAGTTTTAGTAGAGACGGGGTTTCACCATGTTGGCCAGCCTGGTCTCGAACTCCTGACTTTAGGTGATCCACCTGCCTCGGTCTCCCAAAGTGCTGGGATTACAGGCGTGAGCCATCGTGCCCGGCCAAGCATACATTTTTTGAACTGACTGCTAAGAAAGGTTTTCTTGCAAAAAATATGAAAATCTCATTTGTAATATTAGCCTATTTAATAACAAATTCAGACTAGTCTAAGATTGTCCAGCCTCCATTTTCTGTATATATTTCAAATGTACTTAACCTATAATTGTACATGTTTCCCTTTGACACTGGTGACTGGAATCCTAAAGGCTTCATGCAATTTGCAGGCTTTTACACTCTTGGCTAGGACAGTGCCTGGTGGCACTGTGGGTGGGAACACAGCATCAAGTATGTTTCATACCACTACCTGAGATAGGAAGTACCTGTTTCTATGGACTCCTCTCAATATGGCACGTGTGAGTACTTTTGAGGCAATCCAGGGATGTGTTTGATATTTTGCCCCTCTGGAGTGACTCAGAAAGAGTCAAGGTTTTTTTTTTTTTGTTTGTTTGTTTTTTTTTTTTTTTTTTTTTTTTTGAGATGGAGTCTCGCTGTCGCCCAGGCTGGAGTGCAGTGGCCGGATCTCAGCTCACTGCAAGCTCCGCCTCCCGGGTTTACGCCATTCTCCTGCCTCAGCCTCCCGAGTAGCTGGGACTACAGGCGCCCGCCACCACACCCGGCTAGTTTTTTTTGTATTTTTTTAAGTAGAGACGGGGTTTCACCGGGTTAGCCAGGATGGTCTCGATCTCCTGACCTCGTGATCCGCCTGTCTCGGCCTCCCAAAGTGCTGGGATTACAGGCTTGAGCCACCGCGCCTGGCCATGTCAAGGTTATTTTTAAGATTTAACCATATGTTAAAGAGGACTTCGTTTATTGTACATACATTTCAATCACAAACAACTACATGTGGTACGGATGTTGGAAGTACAAAACAAAGGTTTACCAACACTCATCACAACTTATTTGAATGTAACTGCTGTTCATAGTAGTCTTTTAAGAATACCTACATATATGTTGTTTTATGTAGTATATAAAAATAGAAGGTATAAACTGGGACTCTTGTGGTCAAATTAACACTCTATGCATATCTGGTTATATTTTGTTCACTAATTTTACAAATCACTACAGTTGGAATTTTGTAACCTTCAGTGTAATAAAACAGCTTTGGCAAGGGGTGCTTGATGCCATATTCATATTTGTTGCCTTCCTGCAATCCTTACATGGATATGCTTTCTAAAATAAGTCTTGGCTGGGCATGGTGGATCCATTCTGTGCGACAGAGCAAGACTCTGTCTCAAAAAAAAAAAAAAAAAAAAAAAGTCTACTAAATGTCTCAAACCTCCATAACGTTGCATGGCACCTTTTGATTTAAACATAATCCCCCTTGTTCAATTTTATTATACTGTTGGAGATCAAGCCATTTCCTCTGATAGGCCTTCCTGATGCCCTCACATAGAATTAAGTATTTTATCCACTGAGAATGGATAAAATATCTACCTCTAGACATTCTTCTAGTGCTGCATCTATCAGGTTCTGTTACAAACTGCTTGTTAGATGCCAGCCTCCCCTTCTAGACCTGAGTTCCTTGAGGGCATAATACATGTGTCATTTACCTTTATATATCTGGTACTTAAAATAGAACTTGGAGACAGGATAGGTACCCTGAGTATTGTTCAGCTGAATTGGATTATTACTTGGTTATTTTAATGGCTCTGCTTAAAATGCTAAAAATTGTTTTCTTTATTTTTACTAAATGTATATGTTTACACTTTTTCTCACAATGAAAGACTAAATGTTCCATGTTTATAAACGAAATGTAAATAATTAAAAGATATTTATATTTTAATTATTAAAACAAGAGAACTGTGACCTGCAAATGACCTGATATAAATACAAGATATGAGATTAAGATTAAGATAAATAAGATTAGATATATATTTATCAATAGTTATGATAATCCTCAGCTATACCTTCAGGCATTTTATAAACATGTTTGGAAAGGTAACTTATAAGCACAGGAAACCAAGTATTACATTTATTTTACACCTAGAACTACTGAGGAATCTCAAAACTCATATGATTGCATTATTCCTATTCACTATTTGTTTTGCTTCATATGATGATTGCAGTATTCCTATTCACTGTTTTGCTTTTAGCTAATGGGGATGTTATAGCTCAATCAGTAGCTGATTAAATAGTTTGAGCCCTCTAGGCTCTTCCTTTGTTTGCAATTGATTATGAAATAAAAGCCTTAGTCTTACTTAAAATAGTGTTTTAGCTTAATTTTTTGTTGTTGTTGTTGTTGTTTCTACACCAGTGTACTGACTATGACTTGGAATTTGGAACTGAGTGTTTGCAATTGGCCCTAAAATACTGTCGCACTAAAGCCAAACTTGTAGAAGGATCACCAGACCTCTGGAAGGTAAGAGGGATGATACCTTGCTTGGGTTCTTTTCTGTGCTTTTATGTGTTTGTGTGGGTGTACATTGAAAACCAGTAGTGCATTGAGTGGGAGTTAAGGGAATCTCACGGGTTTACTGAATCATCAGTGTGTAGTATCCCTTCTATTGCTTGGCTTCAAGAAAATTCACTTGGAGATAATTTACTCAGACACATCTCATTTTAACCTGTGATTGGTTTATTCACTTTTTTCTTTTTCTTCCTCTCTGTAGATAGTTTTATTAGTCTGTTCTCACATTGATATAAAGAAATACCTGAGATTGAGTAATTTATAAAGGAAAGAGGTTTAATTGGCTCATGGTTCTGCAAGCAGTACAGGAAGCATAGCAGCTTCTGCTTCTGGGGAGGCCTCAGGAGGCTTCCCATCATGGCAGAAGGCAAAGGAGGAGTAAGACACTTTGAGGCCTCACTCACTTGCAGAACAGCTCCAAGGTGGAAATCTGCCCCCATGATCCAATCACCCCCATCAGGTCTTACCTGCATTGTTAGAGATGAGATTTGGGCAGGGACACAGATGCAAACCATATCAATAGTCTTTTTTTTTTTTTTCTTCACTCAGTTGGATTAAAGCTACACCTTTGCCTGCAGTATCAACATTTCCTTTAAGGCCCTGGGTGGTTGTTCCTACTTAACTGGGTTAAAAGGATATCTGCAACAGTTCCGACCTAGTGGGGGTAGTGGCTGGATCCACTCTCTTTCCCACTGTGAGGAATTAGACTGTTTCCTGTGGCAGGGCCCAGCTCCTTTAATGGCTAAATTACCTTTTTTTTTTTTTTTTTTTTTTTTTAACGGAGTTTCACTCTTCTTGCCCAGACTGGAGGGCAATGGTGCTATCTCACTTCATTGCAACCTCCACCTCCTGATTTCAAGCGATTCTCCTGTCTCAGCCTCCCAAGTAGCTGGGATTATAGGTGCCTACCACCATACCTGGCTAATTTTTGTATTTTTAGTAGAGATGGGGTTTCACCATGTGGGCCAGCCTAGTCTTGAACTCCTGACCTCAGGCTATCTGCCCACTTCGGCCTCCCAAAGTACTGTGATTACAAGTGTGAGCCACCACGCCTGGCCTAACCTCTTTTGGAGGGAATAGAGTACTTATTGCAAACAAGATAATGGCACTATCATACTGCAGCTTCTTATCAAGGCCAGGGATGGTTTAGAGTGTGATTCTTTGTTTCATTAGTTGAATTGAACAGGACATTTGGAAATAAGAGTCTGGAAATAAGAAATAAGTACATTTGGAAATAAGATTATTTCATAATCTTGAAATACATACTGCTGCTTTTGAAATATTGCTTGTAGTCTTTGGAAATCTTTATGAAACATCCATCAAAATCTGATTAGTAAAGATTCATTCTAATTGAGTCTATAAGCATATTTCCTTACTGATTTTTAAATCAGAAAGCCCTATAAGTTGATCAGTTATTTTGCACAACAACGTGATCAGCCTTACTGAATGCTAAGATTGTCTCAGGATAATCTTAAATATTTAAAATATTGAATTCTAAGACTCCAAAATATTGACATGTTTGAATTATTGCCTGCTAGAGAAATTTTATGCAGTAGAGAAAATTCATGCAGTATTACTCTTCATTTAAGGACAACCTAAAATGCCTGCCTGCTGGGTTGTCATCAACCCAGCAGGCAAATGTTTTATTCATCCTTTTCTATATATGGCTCAGTGATATTAATTATGAGGATTTTTGGCAATTACCAATTAGATACTTCATTAAAGATCCTGACCCACATTTCTTTGGAACTCCTTTGGCTGTCTGGCAGGCCCAATTTGAAGACGAAGAAAAAATGTGGAAACTCTAAGGCGTTTTATTGCTACTGACATGTCAATAATCCCTCGTCTCACTTTTGACATCTTTGGGGCTATGATTATTTACCTCTGTGCGTGTTCAGAGCCTTCATCACGTTTGTAAAGCACTATTGAGATCTATGGATGAAAAGGAAGCAGCACATTGCTCTCTGAATGTTACATTCCGTCTTCAGTGTTTTCTTTTTGGTGAGGTGTTCATATTTCTCTGTTCTCTCCAGCAAGAGTGTTAGTCCTCAGGTATGTCTTGATGCTCTGCTCCCCTTTTATGTGCAACAAATATTAGTGCAGGCTCACCTGATTGGCCTTTCCACACAGTGCTTCTCTTGGTTCCACTGGTGAGTCCCTTTTTAGGGATGTTGTTATGGGTTCAACTGTCCCCTAAAAAGGTATGTTCAAGTCCTAATCTGTGGCACCTGTGAATGTGACCTTATTTTGAAATAGTGTCTTTGCAGATATAATCAAGTTAAGATGAGGTCCTGCTGGAGTAGTGTAGCTCCTAAAGCCAACATGACTAATATCTGTATAAGAATAGAAGAGACACAGATATAGGGAGAAGGCCATGTGATGACGGAGGTGGATATTGGAGTGATGCATCTGCAAGCCAGGGGTTGCCAGCCATCACTGGAAGCTAGGAAGAGGCTGGAAAGGATTCTTCCCAAAAGCCTTCAGGGGTCCTACTTGTATCTTGATTTGAGATGTCTAATCTCCAGACTGTGAGAGAATATAAATATTTCTGTTTTTTGTTTGTTTGTTTGTTTGTTTTTAGACTGAGTCTTGCTCTGTAACCAGGCTGGAGTGCAGTGGCACAATCTTGGCTCACTGCAACCTCCGACTCTTTGGTTCAAGTGATTCCCTTGCCTCAGCCTCCCAAGTAGCTGGGACTACAGGTGCGCACCACCATGCCTAGCTAATTTTTGTATTTTTAGTAGAGACGGGGTTTCACCATGTTGGCCAGGATGGTCTTGATCTCCTGACCTTGTGATCCACCCATCTCGGCCTCCCGAAGTGCTGGGGTTACAGGCATGAGCCACCGCGCCCAGCCAAATTTCTGTTGTTTGAAGCCTGCCAATTTGTAGTAATTCACTGTAGCAGGCCTGGGAAACACATGCCGAAAGGGCGAGGTCCCCTAGAAATCAGCATCATAGCATCACTTTCGACATGGAACGGAAGTAGAGAACTTTACTCTTATGAATGAGATTGGAATAATGCCGTGCTTCAAAGGGAGCTTGGACCCTAAAAGGCCTGTCATGCTCTGGATTGGGGAAAATGTCTTACAGATAGACGTTATGAGGGTTTTTGGTTTGTTTGTTTTTTAGTATCACATTTTTTTTTCCTGTTAAGTGAGGTGATACTAGAATGCAAATATTGCAGGTTTTTTTCAGAGTCCCTATTTTCTCTTTCTGCCTCTTGTCTCATCTTTGATTTCTCTTTTTGGTATTTTCATAGCTAATTATTTAACCCCTTTTGATAACACTGTAAGATTTGTCATTAAGCTTTTACTTTAATTTTGTAATCTTATTTTGTATGACGAGAGTATTTGTTTTACACAACAGTGGAGTTTATGCTTTGAAATTAGTGTCCTAATTCTACACTATTTCCAAAGATGCTGGACTCAGATGGCATGGCCATGTACTTGAAACATGATTCAAAATCTGACAGTAAAATACACATTTGGACATGGTGGAGGCATTTTATTACCATGGAACAGCGTAAGGCAAAGGAGGATTCTGAAACACAGAGCAATATACCTTCCCTTTCCCCTCAAAAGTCAGGGAGTTCACTTTGCACTGGTTTAGAGAGTGACTTGAAATTTCTGAGGAATGCATGTGGTACTAGAATTTCAGTAGTAGAATTTCATTTGCCACCAGAAGTCCCAGGAGGATTATTTTGTATTTTATTTTATTTAATTAATTTATGTTTTTGAGATGGAGTCTTGCTCTGTCACCCAGGCTGGAGTGCAGTGGCAAGATCTCGGTTCACTGCAACCTCTGCCTCCTGGGTTCAAGTGATTCTTCTGCCTCAGCCTCCTGAATAGCTAGGACTATAGGTGCATGCCACCATGCATGGCTGATTTTTGTGTTTTTAGTAGAGACGGGGTCTCACTGTGTTGGCCAAGCTGGTCTGTATTTTGTATTTTATAAATATGTTTTGGTAAAAGTAAAAAGTAAACATTCTGGCTTGATGTCACCTTCCTGTGCTAGCTCTTCTGGGGTCTGGAGATAATATCAGTATTCTTTTCTTTCAAATACCATGCAGGGTAGAAATGACCACAGTACCCCACTCCCCCGCAGGGTGACGGGCACTGAGGAGTACAGAACTGGTTCTGGGAGTAGGGATCAGCTGTCATGCTTCCCTGGAGTAATCTTGCTTCGACAGGCCCAAGTAAACACTCTTATTTTGATGAGATTTCATCTAGTCTGCGTAACAACTTGAGTCCCTTTAATTTAGAGTTGTACCATATTTTTGACCCCGTATACTTTTAATTAGCTTGGTCTCTTACTACACTGTACAGGCTTAGTTGAACAGAAGTCTTGTTTCTAAATGTCAGAACTGTCTTTAAGCCATACAAGGTTGATAACCAGTTACTGAAGAAATTTAACCACTGTGTTCCATTGTCTGAATGTGTTTTTTTAGGAGTTTCTGAAGTTTTTGTATAATCACAATATTATTGGAATGAATGACTTTTGAGGATTCATTTTGTTGGGGAATACACTTTTTTTTTTTTAGGTCCAAGTATTTCAGCATCTGTTTAAAAACAAAAGAAACAAAATAGTCTCTATTTGGTTTTTGTAACTTCAAAAACACAATATGGTGAAATTGTTTCTCTTCAGATATTTTTATATAGTTTTCTAGCATTTTATATAGGTGTCCAGAAAAGAATATTTTCTACACATATATGATTGGTAAGGAAATAAGTTCTGAAAAATCTATACCTAATAAACATTCTGTTATCTTTGAAATGTAGGTTTTGCCTATTTATTGTGAAGGGAGATATGGGAGAACATTATGTGTCATCTTAAGTTATTGAAGATAGTGGCCAACTGGCTGTGTCTGAAAGATTTTTTTTTTAAACTATTTTATGTCTCAACACAGAAAGAACAACATGTAGACGTGATAGGAATGAGAAATTCCCACCATATTATTACCTTACCGTGTCTATGAGATTGGAGTGTTTATCCTCCAGATTAGCTAACTACTAGATTTGTACAGAAACTTTGTTTAGTGAAGTGGGCTACTGCACTTCTATCCAAAATAGATTCCTCTGCTATTCCTTTATCCTAGCAGGTAAATCCTGGACCAAAACTATACCTTACCATCCAGAAATAAAGTAGCAGCCCACTTGGTAACACAGATAAAAAGTTGTTCAAGCAATTCAACCAATCTATTAAAATGTGAAATGCTATATAGTATCTTTTAAACAACACATGCCAACCCAAACCAGTGACTTTTGATGTACTTTTAGCCTTATTTTTTTCTACATAACTAACATACTTCAAAAGCAGTATGACTGGAAAATGTAATTCTCAATTGATGGGTTATTCATTTTTTCCGTCTAACTTTTACAACAATATGGTTTGTCCTTATTTTAATTTAAAAAACCAACAGCCTGATAATGAGTATTGAAGTTCCTTTTATCCTGTTAGCATAATCAGTAGTCTTCCTTTGACCTTGCACAATACTCTATAATGAAAAATTACTTAAAAAAATCAGTCCTGTAGTGATGAGAAACAACTTCAATCCTCTAATTTGCTGGTTTTCAGACTGTGCTCACTAGAGCCTCAGGGGCCACCTGAAGAAGAGGAAAGGTTCTGTACCTTTCACCTGTACAGGTGAAATTCCAACCCAACACCTGGCACTCACCTAGTTCAGCTCAGTTTTTCTCTATTTTGTTTGATTCTGCTTCTGTGTGCTATTTCAGCTGAGTTTAGGCATGGTGAGGTAATAATATGGTGGGAATTTCTCAAAATGGGTTTTTAGAACACTTGCATCATAAATACCTAGGTACTTGAGTGCAGTTTCTAGGACCTTATAAAAGCTTGTTAATACTGTGTCTTTATTTACTGTGTATTTCAGCTCTGTGATATAGAATTCTGCAACACAGTGCACTTACATGTTCTGTACCTGAGCTCAGTGGATGGGGGTCTGTGAAGTATCTGCCATAGGACAGACACATACATTACAAGGAACAGATTACAATTAGGAGGAGGCTGCATATTTTTAAGGAAAGATCATCATTGTTCTTGGGCACATAGTGGTACCCTATAGGCTCTTTTTATTTTATTGACATTTAAATAAAAATCTTACTAGGTATATACAGATATATGTAATTCAGAAGAAAGTCCCTCTTAACATAAATTGACCTTTCAGAATTTTTTCAGCTAATAATGCAACTTGGTGACTTTTTTTGTTATATGGAGACTTCTGCCCTACCTTTTTTTTTTTTTCCTAGTATAAAGCCTAATTTTTATGCAGTCATGTTAACACTGTTGTTTAAATGCTGCCACATTTTCTTTAAGTATAATACTCGAGTTACATTAAGATTTCAGTAACCACTGCCACATGATATCTTAATTTATTCAAAGATTTAAAAACAAATCAGCCATTTGTAGAAATAGAATATATTTTATGTGAATTTGCTGATGCTTTTCTAATCGAGAAAATGTCAGTATTACATGTTTATAGCTTCTGAAAAATCAAGAATTTCCCTGGGGGCATTATTTTATTGCCTGCACATTCCTTCCTGCTCTGTTAAGTCTAATGAAGTTTATCTGTCCTTTAGGTGACCTACAAACGAGATCTGTATGCGGCTGAATCGATTATTAAGGGTATGTTTGGCCTTATGACTGTCAGTTCCTGTGTTTCAAAAATGTAAGCCAGTTCGGAATTTCTCATGACAGTTTAAATCCAGCAATCTTGAAAGCAGAAAAGCCTGTAGGCCACTAAGGTCTCTGATATGTTTTTTGAAAATAATTACATTTTATGTTGTTTCATGCTAGTGAAATAGCAGTTATTATGATACCACATTGATTTTAATTTTTATAAAGGAAATACTTTATTAACTTGAGGGAAGTATGGGACATTGATACTATTGGAAGGAAAATAGCAAAACCTGATTTTAATAATTTTGTAAAGATCTCACTTCATTTTAACTACGAAGAGGGCTGCCCTCTCCCGTTAACAATGTCGTATCAGTACATTAGACAGCATCTTCTATGCGAGAAACATTATTTTTCCTAAATGGAGAAATTAGGCTGGACAGGATGATTTTTAAAGTTTCTTTTGGGTTCTGACAATGACTGCAATTTTGTAATTGTAGATATCTTAGGTGTGGTAACTCTTTTTTAGTTCTTTTTCATCTCTGACTCAAAGATCCCAGCTAAATAGAGGTAGTTGATTTAATAAGCAACAAGTATTTGTTATTTTGCTTAACACTGTGCAAGGAATGTAGTTAAGATGCACTAGGGACAGTCTTTCTGTATTTTTGTAGCCTGTTATTTAAGTCAGCTTTCTCAGTCTTGGCACTATCTTGGCATTTTAGCCTGGAAAATTCCAAGCTGTGTGGACTATTCTGTGCATTACAAGTGGTTTAGCAGCATGCCTGGCCTCTGCTCACAAGCTGCCAGAAGTACCCATCCCTCACTCCCCTTCCCCTGGTTTTGACAGTCAAAGATGTTTCCTGATATTGCCAAATGTTCCCTAGGGGGGGAAAAATTTCCACTTAATAGAGAACCACTGTTTTAAAATATGGACTCCTAGCAAAATCAGAGATGTTCACCCCAATCCTGAAATACATGTGATGCTTTACAGTGTGTTAGTAACTGATTTCTTTGAAAACAGATTATGGCTAGAACTACATGCTCAGATTTTCATTGAGAGGTGAACTTCTAAATTTAAACTTTTTTGAAATTAAAAAATGTACTGAATCTGCATTCTGAGTGCATCAATTTATTAAACAATTTTTGGAAACCCTATTTAACCATCTAAGGACTTCACATTCAGAAAATGAAAATCTTTTCTCTGATCATGACAATGTATTTGTGATTTGCCCTGAAGTTCTTTGTCCTTCAAGGATATTTTGTTTTAAACTATTAATGTACTATAACTTATGAATCTGTTTGTGTGTATGTAAACAGATCATTTATAGCTATAAATCAAAATGTTGACATATATTTACATATCAACCAAGCAGTGCGTAAACATTACTCTGGAAAAGTCAGCTGAACCATGATGTGGTTTTCATGTCCTCAGTACAAGGAAATATAAAACTCAGTTTGGTTTCTTCACAGAGCTTTGCATGTACTACATAGGAAAGATAGAAATGATTTTTTTTTTTTGTTAACAATTAGTAGTTCAACTGAGAAATATAATTGTAATAATTGGCCTACATATTATCAGAGGCTTCTTAAAATGCAAAAACCTATACTGCAAGTGTTATTGCAGGAGCTATGACTTTGGAAATTGTTTGCAGAAATGGCTTTTATTTATGTAATAGGTTCTGGTCTGCTACTTTCATTTTTAAAGTATTTAAAGTATTTCATTTTTAAAGTATTTAAAGTATTTAAAACATGTTCTACTTTTATTCTTAGGGAAGGTATTTACACAACTCATTTAGGTCAACAAAATTTTAGTTTCTTTATATTTTAGGGTTTGTGTATCTAATAACTTCCCAGGAGATTCTGATGCTTCTGGTACACTTCTAGGATCACTGCTCTGGGGCCTTTCTACTCTGTGAATGCCCTAGACCGTAGCATTGTGATTACCTGAGAACTAGAATCTCAGCCCCCACCTGATTCAATCAGAATCTACATTTTAACAGGAGCTCTGGTTGATTAATTTGTACGTTAAATTCCAGACATCTTCCTCTAGCTTGCTCCTCAGTCTTTTATAGGTTATTTATTTCTAAATAATATCTATATTGCAATAAGAGCTTTAAGTCTTACGATGCTCTCCCAGCTGCAAATGCTTGTTTGCTCACCTGAGGTTACCCCTTCCATTTATGACTTGTACTCAAGACTATCTCTGATAGTAGAAATGCCTCTCTGGGCATAGGAAAGAGAAAACTCCAAAATTCCAAAATATAATATAGCATATAGCATACTATGAGAGCTGTATATTTACCTGTAGGCATTTTCCTAATGTATTAATCAGGGTTATTTAGAGAAGCAGAACCAGTAGGATATAGAGCTATAGATAAGATGTATACGTAGATTTATTATGAGGTATTGGCTCATGTGATGATGGAGGCTAAGTCTCACGATCTGCCAGCTGTAAGCTGGAGGCCCAGGAAAGCCAGTGGTAGAGTTCCAGTACAAACCCAAAGGTGGGATTTTGGATTCCACCACAAGGTGAAACTTAAGATGCATAAATGTTTATGCTCAAAGCAGTAATAAAGGCTATAAAGCTTCTAAGCCAGTTCAAGTTCAGGACTGATTTTGCCACAAATTTATATAAAAACAATTGTTTATTATGGTTTTAAGAAAATTTTAGATTTCAGCATTGCCTGCAACGCTGTATGAACCTGTTTTAGATTGTGATTCAGTGAAGGTGGAAAGAATGTCTAATTTTTATGTTGCATCCCCTAACATTTAGTTGAGTTGAATTGCATAATAGGCTAACAGATGCAGCTGCAGTTTTTCCCTAGAATCTAAGGGAATTTATGGCCCTTCTTTCCTGCCTTACCACTCTGCCTGCTCCTGACACGTGCTTATAGGGAACCAGAATATCTATCACTATATCATTTTTTTCCCTTTTAAACATAGAAATGGTATAGTATTTTTTTTTGATCATTCTTTGTCAAGATTTAAAACCAAGAGTTGGAGGACATTGAACTTATGCTAGGTGACTTATGTTATCTCACTTATTCTTTACAATAATGCTGTAAGATATATACTATTGCTCTCATTTTGCAGGTGGGAAAACTGACCTAGGTTACTTTCCTCTGGGTCACACAGTTAGTAAGAGCAAGATCCATTATTTAAGCTCAGGTCTCCATTGTCCTTAAGTTTGACTCTACTCTAGGACATGTCCATTTTGTACCTCTGATTCACATAGCTACTCCTGCTGCCTGCTAAAGCACATGCTGGATTCAAGAGCTCTCTCTTGGGTGAGTACATCAGTGGCTTATAAAGTTCAGCTTGCCTATCTCTGATTCCTCTGAGTTGAAAACTCTACCTTCAGCTGGTGATTAAGAATGATCCTATAAGTAAGACAGAAAATTTTCTATCCCAGTGTTTTCCTAAGCACATAGTACAGTCTTCTAGAAAGTGTTACTGGCATCAAAGATGTGTGAAAAGCATATAATGTTGTAATGACAGATTTCTAGACATGCTCAGAAAAAATAATAAAATTCCAAATCAAAATAATTGTTTTAAAATGATTTGAGGTACTGTTTAATTTTTTTTTTTTTTTTTCTGTTGTTGTTAATTCAGGTAGTTGATGTTCATTATCTAGACAACAGATTTCCTTTCCAGGATGGAACTATTTTTGTTCTGTGATGAGTGCTTCATGTTTTTTTTTTTTTTTTTTTTAGTGTCATTCCTGAGCTGTTTTTTTCTCTCAAATAACAATTATTGCTGGTCAACAAATTGTATTCTATTAAAGTAACTATTTCGTTGTTTACTTAGTTTGTTTTCAGGTGCTAGAAAACATTTCTAGGATAAATATCATGTCTCATGGTTTTCAAGAACATTTTGTACTCCAAAATTTACTTGTCACCAAAGTAGCTTGTGTGTTTTGGTCCATCTTAATTTATGTTCAAGTCAACATCTTTGGTTTAGTATGGGAATTCTGATGTTGGGAGAAAAATGAATCTTCTTTCATTGGTATTTGGTGTAGGTTTGCTAACTTCAAGGCATGTTTTGACTAAAATCTCCAAATTGTAGTAGATAGAAAGTCTCCAAATCTGATTTTATCTTATGTTTTTGGATAATTTTAAAGCTTAATTTATGTTAGCATCAATATGTTTATATTGATTTCCATTTACAGTAAACTGTTTGAAAAAACATGTATAGAAAGTAGTAGTTTCATTTGTCTTTCAGAGTCTATTAAAATATAATTAAAAATTTGTTAAAACTATATAAAACAAAGGATTCATAATCCTTTTCTTAGGTAGAGGGTTGGATTTGGTTGTTCTTTAATGTTTGACTCATTCAGGCTTCTACTGTGAGTGAAATTTAAAACAATTTTCTAGGGAGTAGTATGATTAATTGGTACAACAAGACACTGTACTGACTGAGAAGTTTGTAAATATCCACTTAACAAAGAGGTATTGTAGTTTTGTCGCCCAAGCTGGTTGAGCCCACCCAAGTCTGCTCTGCATGCTCAGATGAACCCAAATGATTAAAGTGGTAACAGATGCCAGTGGTAACATACTTTATATAGATTTACATAAGCCATACAAACAGTTCCAACCCACACTTGATTTAGTATGCTGACCATATCCTGGCATATGAAGGTCAATATTCTAAGAGTTTCTAAGAAAAGCCCCTGTGGAATTTCTAAATAAAACATTGCATTTATTTTCTACCTCCATTCTTCAGCTACTTAATATATTTAATTCTGTGGCTAAAGAGTACTTTTAAAGTTTTATTTTATTCTTTCTTGGTTATGTTTGTACAAACCCAAGTAAGCTTGTGCTACAAAATTGCCTCATGGTGCCTCTTTTCATATATGGTGGTGTGTATTGAAAAAGAGGAAAATTAGGTAAAATTGGAAATCCATTTCATCCCTTTTGGTTTTAACTGGCTTTAGTTAATCTTTTTTCCAGTCATTATGTAATGTTTTCCATTTGTTAGGTATTTTAAGGAAATTGATTTCTCTGAAATAT